AAAGAATCTGCTGCAACGGTTTGAAAAGATGCATTGCCTTTCAGAGCAACAGCACGGTCGATCTATCGGTACAAGCTCCTCGACTGTCAGTAATGAACAGTAGCGCTGAGCCTGAACCAATCTAAAGATGCTGTTTATTTCGACCTGAGTAAAGGTCGAAATAAACAGCATTTCGGCCATTTGATACCGTTGATCATAATTTTTTTTAGCCAAATTGGAGGGCTTAGGGATCAGAGGATCTCAGTTAAGATGGTTTATATCCTACCTTAGCGGGAGAAAGTTTTCGGTTCGAGTTCTTGACAAAATTTTTATGACAAGAGACTGCAAATCCGGTGTTTCACAGAGCAGTGTCTTGTCACCCATTATTCGTTGTCAACACCATAGATTTACCCCCTTTTCTTATCACTGATCCCCAGATTAAAATTGCTGCATATCTCAAGATGTTGAAATTTATATCGCCTATGACCAGCTTGACAAGGCTAATGCCAATATAGCACTACGAAGCTCGATTTCTCAGATGATAACTTAAACTGACATGTGGAATATCAAAGCAAACTATTCCAAGAGCTGCACCATTCCCATTGGAACAACACTCGCTGAGCCAAAATCAAAAATTTTGGCTTCGATTTTGGTAAAAGATTTAGGCATTTATACTGACTCTAAATTGAAATATTCTAATCGTATAGATGACATTACATCTCAAGCGACACAAGTACTTTATGCACTAATGCGCACCGCTCAATCTCTGATCCTAAAGTATTTGTGAAAATCTACAAAACCTTTGTCTTTCCATTAGTTGAATACTGCAGCTAGTGTGGAATCCAACCTTGAAAAATGACATTGAAAAAAATAGAAAAAATAAATCTTCACAAAAATCGTTTTCTACTATGCCTTTCCCAACGTAAATTATCCTTTTATACCTGATTACAAGACTAGAATACATAAATTAGGTCTCAAGACACTTTTCTACAGAAGATTCTCAGCAGATATTTTGATGGCTCTCAAAATTCTTCGTGCTGAGGTAGGTTTAAAACCTAGTAGATACTTGGTATTTCGATCCATCAATGAAAGACGAGCTTCTTTCAACTTGACTCTTTCTATATTTGGCAGGTACAACGAAGCAACCTCACTATTAAACAAGCTACCGCCTTCTTTCTTATCTTCACAATCAAATGCTCACTTGAAGAAAATAGATATTCTTCAACTACTGAGGATGGAGGATGTTGTATGATCTTATCTTTTCACCATGTTTTGCAGATGAGATGCAAGTCTTTCTTGCTCTTTTCTGCTTTCTAATCGTTATCACCTTTACCACTATGAACTGTTTTTCTTTTCGCATTGAAGTAGCCCCTATTTCATCTATATAGCTAAAATGTATCATATCAATCATGCACTAGTTCAGTCCAGCGTGATGATTCACTAGTCACTTGTTTGACGCTTTGCTGTCTTAACTGCATTTTCATGGGTTTTTGACCTTTAGCGATTTTGTTTGGAATCGATTTTAAGATGATAAGATCGTACAGTCCATGCAATTATCTAATATATCTCTTTTGAATTTTAAGTAATTCTAGATCTTTATAAAACACTAAATATGTGTTATAGCTGCCCATCTGGCAATAACAATCGCGCCTCTTGACATACATTCTTTTGTACTTCCTATGTCAGTTTTTCTAATATCTGACCTGCTTAATGTTAGAATTCTTCTGCCCCAAAGGTCACAACGAATTGTGCCAAAAAACTATTCAAAGACCTTTTTATATTTTTTATGAACTTACTCCATGAAATCATGCTCTTAATTTGATTTTATAATTATTCCGTCAACTTTTAACTTTTTTGGTTTTTGTATTATACTGTATCTTATTAATAAACTATAAATTTTCTGCTCTCTTGATCGATATATAATATGTGGCAGTAGCGCGATTTCTGAGGTAATTCTCGCAACTCAGCGCAATGAGGTGCGAGGCTGCTGCGAAAATCTCTCTGCGAGAGGTTGCGACGACGAGAGCGCGCTTACGCGCAGCCGCGGCGTTGGCGCCAGCTCTGGCGGCTGGCTGCGGTACCAGGCGGCTGCTTGGGTAACACATGCTTACGAAAGAACGAAAAATAATGTCAACAATTCTAGTGTTTAATAGCTTCAAGACCCTGATGCAGTAATGTTTTCGGCCGACATTTTCTTGAGCAGTTGACTCAATCATAGCTGCTCAGTTGAATTCGGCATTTTAGTCTTTGTTTAGACGGCAAGTCGGGAATATAGTGAGCCGAGCCGATCTTCAGTATTCAAGTCATTTGTGGAAACACCGGGTCGACCTTGACCACGTTGATATCTCTGTGCACCAGCTTTGTTTATCCACTACAACCTCCCGATTTCGGGAGCGTCTGACTCCTGCTTAACCTTCAGAGGTACCCTTGATATTCAACGCAGAATTTTCCTTTGGGCAAGCAGAAGGTATTTTTGAGAACCACTGCGAATCGGAAGAAAAGATCACCAAAACTGAAAGAGCAGAAAATCCAAGTAAAGATTACGCACTGTGTTATTAGAATGCTATGTTATGCGATACGTTCTAGTGGTGCCCTCTATTACGATTTTTCAATCCCATTAAGTGACTCAATGGGTGAGCAACCCGAACGTCGCCTTCGTCGATATAATTATACAATCATCCCTTGTCTTGCTTACAAGGCAGACCATGCAACCAAAAGCTGAATCAAATGCGACTGGAACTGAGATTGTGATAAGCTACTTAGGATTATCATTAGCCCCGTGAAAACACTTCCTTCATCCGTGCCTTCACATCTCGAGCATCATGTGAGTGCTATATGAGTTGAAACATAGAAAGGCAACGAACACACAAAAAATTTATCAGAAATCTAGTACTATGTCCAAAGGAGAAAGACAACCAGCACAGCCTTGAGCAAAGATCATCAACAATGAAACGCTAGCACTGTTGTACTACGTACAACAAAGGAGATCCTGGAGGGCAATGGTTTAGAATGAAGTGGTGTATCTAAAAGCAAAGCCGTTTAAACCGTAATTGATTGCTTTCTTCTCTTGCTTTTTCGTATTCTACATATTGTTCATGTACAAAATGCTCATTTACGCGCTCTTCCAAACCCAATTCTATACATTTTGCTTATCATTCTATAATAAAGAATGGCAAGGTTTTGCACTTACATGTTGACAAGTTGCGGACTGAGGCGAGTGATTGCGGTGGGTGCGGAGGGTACAGATCTTATTATATTTTCATATTTGGCACAGTTTCTTCCCATGATAGCGTAAAGCCTAGTCTGTGCAATAGAAGTTGTGGAGCAGGGTTAGCGAACTCAACACGCCTTGATAGCTGTTTAACGGCTTATGACCCTTAGATCTTAAAAGTGCAATGCGACAGTTTTTACAAGACTGACTTGCACATTTATAATAATTAAATCATTTTGAATTGAGAACGTTATCGCACAATTCATATCTGCTCAGGAATTCGAAAATCATTTAGAGAAGTGCGACATGCACTTCGACTGGTATATATCTTTTCATTTTCATTCGTCGGATTTAGTAAGTGGCCAGATAACCCGTTCATAGGCTAAAGGGTAATATTGTGGATATGTTAGGACGGATGAGTGACTATATAAAAGTAGTAGTAAGTTATATGGCTTAGGTCTAAGTGGCGTAAGAAACTCAGGAGAGAAAGAAAATCCCAACCATTTCTCTTCAAAAACAGTTCCCGATAAGAATTCGATTTTTGGGCTTTCGCAGGACGCTGATTTCATATATGAGGTTTGCAGCGCTTTAGAATGACAAAAAGAGCTTTTTTGAAAGCTCTCCAGATTGCACGTAGACGAATTTGAACGCTGCGGCGGCCTCTTGCCGTTGGATGAGCGGAGTCCATGCGAATGTAGAACCGGGCTACTTAGGGGGCGACTTGCAGGTTATAGACCTCCTTTCCGACTGTTAACTTTCATCGCTCATATACGGCACCTATTATCACAATACTAGAGGGGTGCGTAGCAAGTGTTACCCAAGCAGCCGCCTGGTACCGCAGCCAGCCGCCAGAGCTGGCGCCAACGCCGCGGCTGCGCGTAAGCGCGCTCTCGTCGTCGCAACCTCTCGCAGAGAGATTTTCGCAGCAGCCTCGCACCTCATTGCGCTGAGTTGCGAGAATTACCTCAGAAATCGCGCTACTGCCACATATTATATATCGATCAAGAGAGCAGAAAATTTATAGTTTATTAATAAGATACAGTATAATACAAAAACCAAAAAAGTTAAAAGTTGACGGAATAATTATAAAATCAAATTAAGAGCATGATTTCATGGAGTAAGTTCATAAAAAATATAAAAAGGTCTTTGAATAGTTTTTTGGCACAATTCGTTGTGACCTTTGGGGCAGAAGAA